TGTCACGGCCGCCGCCGTCACCAGCCAGCGAGCAGGGAGGATGCGGCAGCCAGCCGCTCCTTCGTTGGGCCGATTGCGTTCCAGGGTGGAACGCACGCTCGTCACTTCCGGGTTTCGGGGCCGCGTGCGTTCCACCGTGGAACGCGGAAGTGCACCAATGCGTGCCTCGGCTCCTCCTTCACTTCTGAGCCCTATTTAAACGCCCAGACGAGACAGCATGGCGTTCCAATATTGAGTCAGAACGCCTGCTGTCTCCTGGGACCCTCCAACATTACAGACCGTGCCTTCAGCTGATTTAAACTACCCGGACACCACCAAGGACCCCCAGCTACTTCCATTCCGGCTTATGCTCCAAAGCGCAAGTACTCTTAGTGCAGTTGCACACCATTACATTCAAACTGTCTTGGAGTATAGACTGCAAGTTTAACTACTACTGGGGAACTGTTCACTGCTACTGTTGTAGATAATCTTCTAGACCCTGCAAAAGCCTTAACCCTTGAAGTTTCCATTACTCATCCAATAGCACCCTTAAAGTTAACCCTTGCCACTATACTACTAAACCTGAGGCTGTGATGCAAGGTACCCTAACTCTCAGTTCACATAGAGAGTGAAACCAGGATACCAGACCTGAGAAGCCTCCTCAGCTGTGATCCACGTGACCATCATCCATACAGGCGTGACAGGGGCCTGCAATGACTCGCTGCCCAATACAGGAAGATCCGGTATCGGGATAAGTATCAGGAGCATTTGGGCGAGTATGAGTATTCGCCCCAAATACCTGGTATCGGCACTGATACTTGTATCAGAATCAGTGCATCCGTAGCCCAAATGTATGAAGAAGTATTTTTTATTTGCAATGTTTCACAACACAACGTAGGGAAAACTTTTTTTTTTTCTCAACCTTTTGCGCTGAATACTGAAAAATGTTCTGGACAGAAAGGGGGTTTAACACCCCGAGCTTCAAGGGGTTAATATTACTTTTGCTGGGCAGGAAACCCTCCGTGTGCCTTTCTGATTCAGTTTCACTTTTTTTTTTGACTGCGGAGGACACCGTATATTTTTTTAAAACAAAACAAACATTGTATATATATATATATATATTTAGGAAAAATATCAAAAATAAAAGAAAGTTAGTTTTTAGTTTTGGAAAGTTAAAACTTAAAAGGAAGTAAATATCTTCCCCGAGTTATTACAGTTTCCCGTTATAAAGGATTCTAGTTACACTGTATCTGTAGATTGGGTGGAAGTTGTTGGGGAGGATCGGCTGGTCTTCTGGTCCAGTAACAGGGGGCAGATGAGATCTTCCGGTTAATGAGAAGTCAGACCGGCTTTAAATATTTGCGCAGACCACATTTAAACATTTTCTTTAACTCCGGGGTTAATTTGTAGCCGGTGCAAAGTGTCTGGAGCTCTGTAGGAACAGACTTCTCCTGGATGGTAGACATAAACTCTGGAACGCATTATAATCCGGCCAGACACAGAATAGACGAGCAATCAGGAAACAAAATGTTACAGATTTGAAGTGGGTTTGTAAAGCACGCCGGGTGAATCCGGTGTGAATCTTCTACGGGGCTCCGCAATGCGTTCATATAAACACTGTGGAAGGCTTTTTCTTCATCAGACAATGGATATTGGTTCTGGCTAAAAAATTATTTTTAAAGGCCCAGTCTAGCCAAAAATTAAAACTAGGCTTTGAGATGCATAATGGAAACCTTTTCTAAAGGTTTCTTAGGGCTTCAGATTGTCATTTGTGTCATTGCTATAATGCAGCAGTCCTCCCTGTTCAGTTTTGTAGGTAATCCGATGATCTGGGGACACTG